TTTAAGGTATGGGTTTTGCTATTACTCAGGCGCAGCCCAGGACGGGAGATGATGCCATTGAAGAGGTAATTTGCTAACCCGCAGATCCCCAGAAGGGAGCCATATCCTGGGGGCGCCAGGTGGGAAAGCACTGGGGTCTGGTCAGAGGTGGGGGACTGTGGGTGAATGCCGCCATATTGGGGTGTCTATGGGAAGGAGCCAGCGAGGCAGGGTGAGCAGGCTGAGCAGGCTGAAGGTGGGCTAGTTTGAATGATGGGTGAGGGTCTGGCCGCAGGGCTGTCCCGGGAGGTCCAGTAGAGGGCCCTGGGTGGTCAGGGGGAGAGTCTCCCAGAGTGTGTGAGCCGGAGATAGTGGGGTGGCTGGGGTGTGGAGTCTGGGTGGGGGTTTGTATTTGGAAAGTGCGCTCCAGGGAGAGTCGTTTATTATCTCTTGAAAGTGACCAGCTCTGGGAGGGCCAGTTCCTCTGGGTCAGCAAGGCCCGAGATGTCAAAGCATCAGGATACAGAAATAGAAGACATGGCGGTTACACTGGGGGCAGAGGGCAGGTAAGGGCCTCCTGCTGATGTGACCTTGGGCAGAGGCCCAGAGAAGGGGAGGGAGCAGGCCGATGCAGACATGTCTTAGGGGAGAGTCTTCCAGGCCCGGAAAACAGAACAATCACAAAGGCCCTGAGGTGGGACCGTACTTGGTCTGTTCAACAACTAGACAAGAGGTTGGTGCAGCTGGAAGGGAGAGATGAGGTGCAGCCAAGGAGACCAGGTCGAAGAGGTGAGCCTGAGAGAGACTTTGGCCTTCACTGAGCGGGATGGAATGTCGCCAGGTTGGGGAGGGGGTTCTCCATGTAGGAGGAAACAAGATCAGCCTGGAGTTCAAAAAGCGGCTCTGCTGTGCAGAGAAGGGCCGAGGAGGAGAGACCAGGAGAGCAGGGAAAGGAGGGAAGGGCTTCTGGAACAATCCAGGCGGGAGAGGATAGGCCTAGCCCGCTGGAGGAGGCGAGTGGCAGATTCTTGAGGATAAAAGGATTGGATGGGGGGCGTGAGAGAAAGACAGGGAGCAACAGAGGGCCGGGGTAGGCGTGAGGAGGAATACTATTTATTTTTTTCGCAAGGAGAACATGTGAGGCCGTGTCAGCAAATGGGAATCCGCGTGGAAAGCAGGCGTCCTGGTGCTGATGTCGTCCCCCGCGCCCCAGCCGGCACCCCCACTCCACATCCCACTCAGGCAGAAATATTTTATGCATGAAATTATCAACACCTCTCGGGACAGTGTTTCTGCTGTTCAGGGTGTTTCCTCTTTAGCTGCTCTCCTGCAGCCTGCTTGCGAGGAAGGTCTGCATCACTGCACATCTGAGTTTTCTCCCTGGGAGGAGACTGTTCCCAGCAGGGAACAGCTCCCTCCTAGCTGGTGGGCAGTCCGGGTCTTCCCGCCTCTGGGTCTTTGCACTGACTGTTCCCTCTGCCAGGCTGGCCTCCCCCAGCCCCCCTTTAAATGCCCCGTTTGTTCACAGAGTCCTTCCTGCCTCCGTTAAGCAGCTGCTCTCATCTCCCCTGGACCTCTGCCAGGTCACTCCGTGCTGAACATTAGTGATTTAATTCCCGGGCCTCCCTGGTGGCGCAGGGGTTAAAGACAGTGCTATCAAGCTACTGCCAGCCACTGCAGCATGAGTTCCATCCCTGGCCGGCCAGGCAGCTACCCACAGGGCGCAGCAGACCTCTCCTGTCTCCCCGCTGCTCCCCTCAGCAATGAATTTCAGTAGATCCACCTGTTCTGCTCCGCACACTCTCTGGTGAATCCTCTCACCCCCCCTGCCTCTAGCTTACACCCCAGTTCTTGTATGCATAAATAAGTTTTTTAAAAAAATCTTACTTCCCCATTTACTGTCTCTCTCCCCATCACTGGTGGGCCCCACGAGAGTATTGGCCTGACTCTGCAATGTTCAGTAGGCGGTGACGTGGGCGGCCATCCTTATGGGTGCCCGTGCTCCAGCAGCTGCAGGTGCCAGGTACATGCCTCCTGGGCTCCGTGGGAGACTTTCCCTTGACCAATTAGTGCTGTCTCCCTGGGATACGCAAGGTGGGGGGCAGGCTGGGAACAGGGGGAGGCAAGTGGGATCGAGTCACACAAGTGCTGAGGCAGATCCCACTTTATTTAAATGTTTGACATTTTGTTCATTGTGGATTTGGGGCAATCATTTTGCTTTTTAAAACGAGTGCATTACAATATGATCTGTCTTGATGACTGGGTTTTTAAATGCTGAACCCAAGCCAAGAAGTCCTTGCCTTATTGGGGGAAGGGTGTGCTGAGAATCTGTAGGGTTAAAGCAGCCTTGCTAAACCCCCACTTCTGGTGTTCTGGAAGCGCTGGGCTCAATTGGAGATGGGGGACAGCTATGCGAGCTAGAAAGCAGAACAAATCTGGGAAGGTCTGCTTGGCTGTTTCCCCTACAGCAGTGATTTCCACAAGATGTGCGGCTGCATGGAGCTGGGTGCCTGGTCCAGGGTCAGGGGGCCCCCTAGGGCCCAGCAAGGAACTGTGTCCCCCCACTTCAATCAGAACCACTCTTATTCCATCTGGTCTGTGCCTGGGCTTTCTGCATCAGTTGCCACACTGCAGAACTGTGGAAACGCCATCCTCAGGGCCTGGAGGTGGCTGGTTGCATGTCCTGAGGCCTCCCGATTCTTCATTAGGGCCAAGGGGCCTTCAGCCCCATGCTGGGTGTGCATGTCAGAAGACCCCTTTGTCCCTCGAAGTCTTAAGAGATGCCTAAATCTGGCTGCCCGCCCTCCCACCCCCCAGCACTGACCAGACGTTGCACAAGTAGATCTCAGCCATCTCAATGCTTCATGGACCCAGTTGCTCCTCTGTACCCCTCAGTGTGGTGGGGTGCGGTTCCCCTTCCACCCTGCCCCAGCAAGGGCCCCCTCTTTTACCCCAGATGGTATTTGCTTCCCACTCCCTTGAGTCTTAAAGGGCTGCATTTATACCTTGTTCTGTGGCATGTTTCTTTGGCATTTCCAGTTGTCTCCCGCCTATCACAGCCACTCCGGGTGGGGGTGGGGGGTTCCTCCATAAATCCAAGGTGTCATCACCACGACGGCAGCGCCCATCGCCGAGGCGTGTACTGGGCTGGGGAAGGTAGGCTAACTGGCCGGAAAACCTACGTTTTGGGCATGAGTCAGCGGAAGCAGGTGCCAGGGGAGTCTTTAACGAGGCCCTTGTGACTGGGCGATTATTTCCATTTGGCATCGCTTTGTATACACCCTTGCCCCCCACCCCCGGGGAGAGAGAAGGCGGGTGTTGGGAGGTCCAGGTCTCCAGTGTGAAAAGCAGATGCCTTTCCTGTTTCTCTCATTCTCATTCATTCAGCAAATGTTCGCTGAGCACCTACGAGGTGCCCGGCCCTGTGCTAAGCTGGGAGTCAGTGGTGAGCCCCATCACAGAGTCTCTGGCTGCCTGTGTGTGTGTGTGTGGGGGGGGGAATGGGCATTAACTGAGTAGCAGAGAAACAAATGAGGCGATTTCAAGGGTCAGTGGTAAGTCAATGAAGAGAAGCAAGGAAGGCGAGTGGTGGGGCTGGAGGCAGCGCAGGAGTGCTTGGCCAGCCACGCAGGGTTCTGTGGGGAGGGCGTTCCCTGCGGAGGGATGTGCAGGTGTGGGGCCCTGATGTGGGGATAGTGGGTGCCGTGGAAGGGCAGGACAGAGGCCAGTACTGCCAGGTGGAGTGAGCAAAAGACAGGCGGAAGGTGAAGGTGGAGAGTCAGGATGCAGGTCACGCTGGGCCTTGAGTTTCCTTCCCACGTAATGGACAGCTGCTGGGGGGCTTGGGCGGGGCAGCCACGTGATCAGATTTGCTGTAATGAGTCATTTCTGTTGCGCTCCTAGGAGAGGCTTGGCCAGGGCAGCAGGGCGGTTGGGGTGAAGGAGAGAAGAATCGAAGAATTGAACAGGCTTGTGCCTGCGACCTGGAGCTAAGCCCCCTCCCAGTCCTGGCCGGGGCGCTGGGTGGGTGGGGGGGCGGGGGCGGGTCTATCCACCTAGCCAGGTAGATGGTTGTGCCGGCCTGGGGTCCTGGGCCCCCTCTAGAGGATGCTGTCCACACTCCACAAGTTCCACAAGTTTGGGTGGAACTTGATCGGGTTGGGTACTTTCTGGTTCTTTGGAGGCCACTGGGAGGCCTTTGGGGGCGCTGGCCTGTGCTTCTCACTGTACCCAGAAACCACAGCCCAGATTCTTCGAGGTTTAGATTTAGATTCGGGTGAATGATATAAAGCGTTTATATTCAAATATTAAAATAAATGTGGACTAAAATCAAAGTCCACGGTATGTCTTAAAGATAAAAAGAAGCGCTTCCCTTTGCGGTCAGCCCTGCTGACGGGCCCCTTGGTGTTTGTTCAATGTTAGAGGTGCCTTGGGGGAACGTTTGAGAAACAGGCCTTAAGGTGCAAAGGCGGAGCATAGAGGGCGGGAGAAAGGAGAGGGCGGGAGAGGCTGGAGGCGGGAGGATCAAAGAGAAACCAGAGAGGAAAGGCAGTGAACACCCCACTTTCCCCTCCCACTCCACTGGCCCAGCCCCAACCCTGGGCCACCCACCCGAGGGAGGAGGCTTGTTACCCGCCCCGCTGCTGGGAAGCTCCCCATCCAGAGCCCCACGAAGGCGTCGTCTTTTCTTTCACCCGTTTTCCCTCGCAAAGGCTGGTCCACACCACAGCAGATGCGTTGCTGCTGCTGTTGGTGGCTTATCTCCAGGCGGCCCATGAAGCAGGTCTTTGCCGGGCGTGTTATTTACATGGCGGGAAGGACAAGCCACCTCCTGTGGAGGGCACAGGCGCGGGGCTGGGGACGGTGGGGCTCCTGGCCATTCCCACGAGGGCTGGACGCAAGGGCCGGGTCGGTGCTGCGCAGCTGGCGGGCCCCTCGGGCGGCTGGACTGGGCCCAGTGGGCGCTCGGGCGGCTCGGGCCTTCGAGGCTGGCTTCCTAGTGGCTGCGGTGGTGGCGACGCGGCGCAGAGGGCAGCGGGGCAGGGTGTCCTGGCGGCCGTGGGGTGTGTCCTCCGGGCTCAGTTGTGGTCCCTGGCGTCTGAGGAGGCGCTGCCGAACAGGAGGTCGCTGTCCTGGGACATGCCGCTCAGCTGCGACTTGGTCTTGATGAGAAACTGGGCCCTGCGGAACATCACCCGCTCCTGCTCCTGCTTGAGCTCCAGGTAGGAGCGGGAGAAGGTGTGGAAGATGGAGGTCACGGGGAAGGCCATGAGCAGGATGCCGCTGAGGATGCTGCTGAGCGCCACCACCTGGCCTGGCGTGCTCCTGGGGACCATGTCTCCGTAGCCCACCGTGGTCATGGTGATCACCGCCCACCAGTAGCAGGCGGGGATGCTGGTGAACTCGGGGCTGTCGGCCATCTCGTTCTCGATGACGTAAAGAAGGGGGGCAAAGAGGGCAATGGCCACGCAGAGGAAGAGCAGCAGCAGCCCGAACTCGCGGGTGCAGCGGCGGGCCGTGAGCCCCAGCGTCTGCAGCCCCAGGGAGTGGCGGGCCAGGCGCATGACATACAGGATGCGCAGCGCGCGCAGGACCCGCAGCACCAGCCCCACCTTGTCCAGGTAGCTGTTGCCTGCCCCAGGCTTGCGGCGGCCCGCGGCCGCGCCGTCCACCAGCAGGGTGATGTAGTAGGGCAGGATGGCCACTAAGTCGATCAGCGTCAGTGGGCTGCGGAGGAAGGTGAACTTGCTGGGCGCCTGGATGAACCGCAGGAGGAACTCCAGGGAGAACCAGCCCACGCACACCGACTCCACGATGAAGACGTTGTGGCACATCTGTGAGCACTGGCCCTGGGAGACAGGCGAGAGGTCACAGGAGAGGTCAGCTGCGGGGGTTCAGGGGGCTTTCAGCCAGGGTCTGGATAAGACCGATCTGCTCTGTCTCCGGGAAGTTCTGTCCAGGCCTAGAGCATGAACTGCCACCTCCAGGCTGCCCTCCACGCTGACCACCTCTCACCTCTCTCTCTCTGGCCCTGACCTGGCTGCTGACCTCCAGACCCCAGAGGGTCTGCGCCCTTGGAGTGTCTGATAGGCACTGCCCACTCATCCTGTCCTAAACCAAGCTCCTGATTTTCCTTTTTTTGAATGTATTTATTTAAAAACTATTTTTATCGAGGTAACATTGATTTACAACACTGTATATGTTTTAGGGGTCTAGGTTCACACCTCTACAAATGTATGTTTTCACACCATGCCCACACCAAAGACCCAGGAATCCTCTACCATCGTTCATGGGGCCTCTGCCCCTTGAATTTGTTTTTACTGAGCTATAATTGACCTATAAGATTGCATAAGTCTAAGGGACACGAGTTGACTTGATACATTTATGCACTGCAATATGATTATGACTGCAGTATTAGCACTGCTATCAATGATATAATTACTTCGTGTGTGTGTGCGTGTTGGGAACAGTTTAGAGCTAGTCTCTTCGGGCTCCTGACTTCTGTGGTTTCTCCTTTCTTGGTGACCCACAATGCCACCTTCCCAGTGACCCAGGGGGGAGACTTGCCTCATCCTGACACCTCCCATACACAAAGCGCCATTATTTAAAATGATTCCATAATCAAACCCCTTCTCACGATGTCCATTGTCCCCAACCTGGTCCAGGGCACTGGGACGGATATAGCCACCTCCACGGGGCTGATCTGGTTGGTACACATGGCCAGAGAGACCCTGAGAACAGGAATCAGTTCCTGTCCCTCCTCTCGCCATGTCACAGAGCACACATGACTCAGGACCCAGCTGCCATCTCTCCCACTTCCTGGCCTGCTTCCCTCCTCGCCCACCTGCTCCGGCCTCCCAGGACTCCTGCTGCCTCCCAGTCTTGACTCGGGATCCCCTGCAGAATTCCTCTTCCCCTGACACCCAGACCCTCTGACCTCTTGCTTTCCAGCAGGTCTTGGCTTCAGCTTCACCTCCCCCTGTTGAAAAATTTCCCCTCAGTTCTACACAAAGAGAAAAGGTTAACACATTGTGTAAAGTAGCCAAGAAGGGGTGGAGGGGAAGTAAGGAGGACCCCCAGGTAAGCAGAGGGGAGCTTCCTTGTGGGGTGGAGGCAGCTGGCGGGTTCGGTAGGAGGAGGTGTGTGTGGCTCGTGGACAGAGGTTTTGACCTAAGTTAGAATCCTGGTCGCCTGAGTGAGGCTCCAGCTCTGCCCCTGCCAGTGCTGACGAGGGGCTATTTATGTAAACCTGGGCCTCAGTTTGCTCATCTATAAAACGGTGATAAACATGTCTCCTAAGTTTGTTATAATTATTGAATGAGTGAATATGTGTGATTTTTAAGACTTGTGCCTGACCTATGGTGCATGTATTATGTTATCATCTGCATGCATGTATTATATGCATGTAATAGGCATGTATTATATTATCATCTCTCTAAACTAGAGGTGAGATTGTCTGCAGAGAGCGAGGGTAAAAGAGGAGGGCTGGAAGCTTGGGAACTGTAGAAAGGTTAGAGGCAGGCACTGCTGAGGGGGGAATGTGGCCCAGCGATGCACAGGTGTTGTTTGGCAATGGTGAGCGCCCTTAATAAAAGAAAAAGAACAATTCTTCTTCCCTTTGTTCTGTACCCCAATCCCCCTCATCATGGTCTTTGTTCAGAATGCTTAGCATCTTTTAATACACTTTGTAAATTACTTATCATGTTTATTGTCTCTCCCTGCCCCTTGCCATGCCTTCCCCCCATGCCTGTCCCTCTGCCCCATCCCCTGACCCTCTGCCACAGCAGACTGTAGCCCCACAGGGTGGGTGGTTTGTTCACTGCTGGGACTCCAGTGCCTGGCAGGTGATCAATTCATAGTTGTTACTGGGGCAGATGGAAGGGCATTGGACTGGCATTTGGACCAGAGTCCCAACTCAAGGGCTCGGGGGGCAAAGGAAATGGGGGGAGTATGCTGGGTTGGGGGTGCCCACTGGCAAGTCTGGCCTCCTGCCAGCTCCCAGGAGACCACCTCACCAAAATTTGTAAGAGAAGCTGGAAATCTGGAGTTTAATGTGAATTCTCCTGGGGTTTTAATGTCAAGCTCATTCAATACAAAGGTAACACTCAAAGGTGCTACCTGTGTGCTGGATTTGGTACTTGGCTGTCAGCTTGTGTCTCTGAACTGAGATATAATTGCATGGTAGACTGTCCCGCGTGACTTTGGACCTCAGTCTCAAAGAGGTTTTGGCAGAAGGGAAAGCAGACATGGTTCTAGCCTGGGGCATCTGGCAGGTTCCTGGGCACAGCTGGGTTTTATGAGTCCTGAGCTGCAAGCTCTGTCTCTAGGAACATGTTGCAGGCCAGAGAAAGGAGCTCACACTTCAATGGGCTTTGTGGTCTCAGAATGCCAGGCCAGGGAAGCCCCCTCCTCCAGGAAGCCTTCCTGGAGTGCAACCCCTGCAAAGATCCAGCACAGTGGATGGGCTTTGCTCATACACCCCTGCAGCATGTGTCTCACAATTCTGGTCAGGGGGCTATCAATGTCTCCCCCTCCCCACACTATACTTGAAGCTCTTTGAGGCTGGAAGACTTGGCTTGATCATTTTGCCTTCCCATAGTACTGCATACAGTAAGCACCCAAATATGTGCATAAGGAGCAAGTGAACCAAACTAGTCTCCAAATTCAATCATGGAAAAGGTCAGGTTTGTTTTTTTTTTTTAAAGGCAAGTATCAGAAGTGGAATGATAGTGGCTTTATTAGTATTTTCCTGATAAAATCAGGATTGAGTATGTTAGAGCTAAGAAGAAAGATATACTGAGCTCAGGTGCTTCCAAATGGGTCTCAAACGATGAGCACTGTCTCTTTTTTTACGATAGGTGTGTGTCATCTTTACAGTTAGCACTTCCTGTAGCTCACGCCCAGCCATTGCTGCCGACTCATTGCTGTCCCTCAGTTTCATTACATGGGATGAGGCACAGAGAGGTTTACTAATATGCCTACAAATGCATTGCCAGAGTGGACAAAATGAGATTCCAGTCCCGGCCGTCTGTCTAGCCCTGCCTTCCTCATCACTACCCCTCAGACTTACCAAAAAGTAATTTTACTGTTACCAAATGCTGTTTTCTTAACAATTATTTTAAAATCCGATGTATGAAAAAATGCCAGAAACCCTCTGTGATTATAAATGTAGCAACTACTGCCACTTCTTTTTTTTTTTTTTTTTTTTTTTATAGAGGCATGTTATTTATTTATTTGTTTGTTTGTTTTTTGTTTATACATGCACTGGGTACAGTCAGAAGCGCGGGAGGGTGAGAGAATTCACCAGAGCCAGAGCGGGGAGCAGAGCAGGCAGAAGGACCGAAGTACACTGCTGAGGGGAGCAGCGGGCCGCAGGAGAGGTCTGCGCGCCATGTGGGACCCTCCTCCTGTGGCCGGGGAGCAGCCGGGGATTGAACCGGCGTCGCAGAGGCTGCGGGCAGGTTCGCAACCCAGCGCTCAACCGCTGCGCCACCAGGGAGGCCCTACTGCCACTTCTTCCATAATATATGTATGTGGAAAACTCTCTATGGTGAGTGGTTCTGACGTCAACCAGAGCTTGTGTAAAGCCCTCTGCACGCGAGTGTGCACAGCCAGGGCTCAACACCTGCCAGCCAGCATGGTATTCACACTCGGTTCACACCACTTATCTGCGTCGCCAATGCAATTTGTGTTCCATCCAAGCCCTTCAAACTGTCTTGAAATTTCTTTCAGAAGTCCCACATGTCAGGGAGGGGTTCCAACTTGCAGGTTTGAGGGTCTCACACGGGAGGCCGCTGAACTGGGGAGCAGCTCCCACTAAGAGCTACCTTGGGGGACTGCAGGCAGCAGGTCTGACTATCTATTTTAAGAGAAGCTGGGAGTTTGAATTTTTAAATGAAAAACATCTTCTAAATGCTGACAGTCAAGTTAAAATTTGGGGAAGCACAGTGTGGGCCAATCATTGTTTCCTGGGGGATAGGAGTTCCACATGTGCTTCCAAACTTCTATGTCTGAGAACACAGAATTTGGACTTGGTCAGATCTGGGTCTGGGCAAGCTGTTCTGCCTCAGTGTTCCTATCTGTCAAGTGGGTGTGAAAGCACTTCCTGTCCGGGAATGTCGGGAGATTCCCCGAGAATGTAAGAAGCAGGTAGAGTGGCAGCCCAGTCCATGCCTTCTGCTAGAGAGATAAAGACACCTCTCTATATACAAATAACATCCACATAGATGCTTATATATTAGTGATCACAGGCAAGCCTCTGGGATATTATGGCAAAATAAATCAAGAGCATGAAATAACAGAGAAAAATCAATTAGGATTTTGCTTTCTATTCATTCAGATGTCAACAAGTATTTGCAGAAATCTATTGAACATCTATGCCTTATGCTAGTTCTTTTTCCTTATGCTAGTATTGCTAAAGCTAATTATTTTAATATATTTTAAGTCACCAACGTACAAAAAATATGGATGACAATTTAGTATTTGCCAGTATCTGGAGTTTTTATAGAAGGCAAATAAGAAAGATGAGAAAGGACTCAAGTTGGTGAAATAATTATTGAAATTATTTGTCATGCACCTAGCTCTGGATCATGCACATCACAAACCATACCATCCATTTATTTATTCCCTTATTCATTCATTAAAGACTGGTTGAGTGTCTGGGCTTATCTAAACACTGGGGACCCAGCTGAGCACCGGGAAGGCACAGAGCCCATGTTTTAGCCAGGAGCAGGGCTCACAGATGTAAACACCATGTCAGGAAGGGCTGGGAATGCTACTTTGTCGGGGCAGTCACAGAAGGCTTCCTGGAAGAGGCGACAATATTTTCTCCCAGGTCTTCAGAGACCTCCCCTCACCGCAGCAAGCCTCCCCGCGCACAGCTTGGCCTCTTACCTGCTCCTCCTCCTCCCTCAGGCTGGGCAAGGTGCTGATGGACAGGTTGACAGCGGTGACCGTGACAAAGAGCACCGACAGGCAGGCGAACACCTTGCCGGGCAGCCCCGAGTGCGGCCTCTCCACCATGTCGCGCAGTCTCCGCATGCAGCGGCCCAGGCGGCTGTCGCCCGCGGCCGGGCCCTCGCTGTCGGGGTCCTCGCTGTCCACCAGGTCGTCCTCGTCCTCGCGTTCCACCATCTCGGCGAACTCCTCGATCTTCTGCAGGTAGCGGCGCTTGCAGCAGCTGTCCAGGTGGTCCTCGGGGATGCCCCAGTAGACCAGCTCCTCCTGGAAGGAGAGCGCGCACATCTCGCGCAGCAGCCGCAGCTTGCCCGCGCGCAGGAAGGTCAGGATGGTGCCGAAGGCCCCGGGGTTGCGGTCGAAGAAGAACTCGTTGCAGGTGACGTCGTAGTCATCGCACACGTTGAGGATGTCGTCGAAGTTGGTGCAGGCCTTGAGCTGGCCCAGCCGCGTCAGCGGGAACTCCTCCAGCGTGGTCCAGGGCAGCGAGTACTTGATGCCGCCCACGTTGATGATGATGCGCCGCCGGCGGTCCTCGGCCTGGCCGCCCTGGTGCACCTGGTGCACCTGGTGGCGGGGCTCGTCCTGCGGCCGCAGCCGCTGCGCCCTGCGGTAGAAGACGCCCTTGAGCGAGTGGCCCTGCGGGAAGAAGGCGGGGTGCAGGGACGCCTCCGAGGTGCAGCTCAGGGCGCTGTAGTCGTAGTCAGAGTTGTCTCCGGGTAAGAGGGTCATTTTGGGCCTTCACATCCCTCTGGGGCCTGCGGGGGAGGGGAAAGACGCTGCTGCAGATGTTTGCTGGGCTCCATTCCCAGGCCCTACGCCCCAGTGGGGGGTGTGCACCCCACCTCCACCCCCGACCCGTGATGGGCTTAGTGCCCGCAGAGCATAGGAAGACACGGGGCATCCTCTCTGCACTCTGGGGGCACAGCAAGAAGGCAACTCTCTGCAAGCTGGGAAGAGCATCCCCTCCCGCCCCACAACTCCACCGATGCTGGCATCTCCGTCTTGGGCTTCCAGCCTCCACAAGGTGAGCAATGAGTGTTCCAGCAGAGACATTCCTCAAGGAGGAAAACAGAACACCATCACTCTCATCTCTGCCCTCCGTCCATCCAACCACTGATGCCAGGAAATGTACCTGGAGCCGCGGTGTGCCAGCTGCAGCTTTATGGGGGATTCACAGCCACACGCAGACTCAGACATGGTCTGGACCCCACGGAGCTGGCATCCTGGTGGAGGTCACCCAACACCTGAACCGTTATTAACTCTAGGTCAGCCTGGTTTTTGGTATTAATTGAGCTTGAAAGGGGCCCCAGGGCCGATTTTGTCCCCTGAGGACATGTGACCACATCCAGGGGCATTTTTGACAGTCATGATTTGGGGGTGCTAGTAGCAACTAGTAGATAGGGGCCAAGGATGCTGCTAAATGTCCTGTGATGGCCAGGCCAGACCCCACAACAACAATTCAAGCCCAAATGTTCACAGTGCTGAGGGAGGCAGCACCAGTGTGAGGGTTAGAAGGACAGGCTTCACCACCACGTGGCCTGAGCAAGTTACTCAACCTGGACGTTGCTCAATTTCCTCATCTGTGAAATGGGTATTAACCACGGACCTACTTCAGAGGATTGTTGAGAGGATTCAATGAATTATGTACATAGGAGCAATGTCTGGCACATAGTAGGTATTCAATAATTGCCTATTATTACTATGAATGTTGGTTGTAAAGGGATGCCCCTTATTCTTGCATAAATGGAAAACTGATGTTACCTGCCATAAATAAGAGGCACTGTCCAAAGAAATGCTCATGAGGATAATAGTGCCACGTTGGCTCACATATCAACAAGCATCTGGACAGACATGCTCACTCCTCCAGGAAGCCTTCCTTGACTTTTCCAGCTAAACCAATCCACTTCCCCTCCCCCAACCTGGTGCATTTATCTTCACTGCAATTACCAGCCAGTGTTAGAGTTATCTCTGTACAAGCCCGAGTCCTCATCAGACCACTTGCTCAAGCCCGGCGGTGCAGGAACACAGGAAGAACTGCCAAAGGAGCACATTCCCTGCAGGTGAGGCCACAGCGAGGAGAGCATTTCCCAGAAACTGAGGACTCCTCCCTCCTCAACCTTCACTGCTAAGGGTTTGCTCTACTAGAAAGAGATTGCTTATTCTTTCATAGCTCGTGGGCTAAAAGGTGGTTCACAAATATTTTGTCTGGCTTGGAGATGGTTTTGAAAATCGAGAACTTGCGTATAAAAAGTGCAGATACTTGGCTTCTCTTGAAAAGCTAGGCAATGTGGCAACATTTTGGCCCAAATTCCAGCTGAGAGATGGATGCCCTTTTTAGGCTGGGCATGCCAATCCACCACAGTCCCCACCCCTCCCTGTTGTATTTCTGACACCTGCTCCACTCTACTGCTGTATGCTTGTTTCCTTACCTCTGCAGGCATTTGAATTTGAGACCCTTGGATTAAAGCAACGGAACTTTCCAAAATTAAGCTGATGCATAGGAAAGTAGCTTAGAGTGTAATACCTTGCTTTTAAAAATCATACCCCTACCTCACCCAGTCCCCAGTAGAAATAAGTGGCCCTGGTAAAATCTATCAATTCCATTGCCTCTACCCAAATGCCAATCTGAGGTATAGATGTGTTCAGGGAGCAGTATGAATGAAAAACCGTTTTTATATGCACTGGGGAGGTGTTTCCACATTGGAAAAGGGCTCCTGCCTAACAAATTCTTTCACAAAAGCAAGGCATCTCTTCTCTCAATCTGTGGGGAAAGCTAGTTTCACAGATCAGGTTTTGGAAAACCAGGGTACACCTGTGTTTGAAATAAAAACGATTTGATTTTAGTGTTGAGGGTGTTTTTAACTTCACCTAAAATTGGAACCCATATCCTCAGGCAAAGACTGCCAGGAACCTTGCGAGGAGTGAGAAGAACTCCTTTTAGACACTTCACGTTAGCGATCCTGCTTTCCAGCTCGGCTGCTTTATCTTTGCCACCGAAGAGGAGAAATGACATTCTGTTCAGAATGATGGTGATGGAGGCCAAAGAATATTCTCTCGTCCCGCCAGCCCCCAGAGCCCTGTGAGCGCCCCACGCATTCTCTTATGGAATTTCTCCTGTCTACTCTCCCCAATTTCCCTTTCCAGAAAGCTCCTCAGTAAGGGATTCCTTGTTTCTTTCTCTCATGGTTTGTGTTAACCGTGAGAGCCTCAGTGTCTTGTGTGGAAAGTTATCCTGTCTCAGTGTCTGAGTCCTAGTCTGGAGGAGGGACAGCTGGCCTGCTCAGGGCATGCCAGGTGCTGTTTGAGGAAGGGGCTGAGATGGTGAGGCCAAGGAGGTGTCCTGAGGGGGCGTCATTCATTTTTTTCATGGAACATTTACTATATTCAGACCTGTGCTAGGTCTAGAGGCAAAACAGAAAAAAAGAACCAGAGAAAAAAACCAGCCTCTGTCTCCGTGGAGTTGACATTCTAGTGCGGGGAGATGATCTCCAGAGTACACAGATCATTTTAAGAAACAGAATAAGGTGACAGATGGAAAATGACTGGGGTTGTGTGTGGTCTAGGAGGACTTCTTGGAGGAAGGGGCCCTGGGGCAGACCAGCCTTGTGAGGACCTGGGTAGAAGCCCGTGAGGGTCTTGGGTAGAAGATATGGGAAGACCTTCCTCCCTGACCTGGGGGTGGGCTCTGATGGCCCAAGTCCCAAGAGAAGGCAGTGCGGTCTGGCAGTAGGAGTGCGGCGGAGGGTCCAGAAGATGAAGGTGGGGAGTCAGTGGCTGGGTGCCAGATGGAGCAGGGCCTCGCAGGCCATGACTACAAGAACTGGGGTTTACTATACACCTGAGGGGGAGACCTCAGGCTTTAGTGCTGGAAGTCCCTGTGGTCATTCTGGAAAGAGGACTGAGGCTTGGACCAATGGAAGGGACTGGAGAATTGGAAGGATTTGGGTTGGACTCCAGGAGGACTGCTGACAGGTGTGCTGACAATGGTGGGAGGGAGAGAATGTAGGATTCCAGAGGTGACAGATAGGGGGCGCTGTGAGGAGCCCCCAAGGAAGACAACAATTCCTGGCTGTGGGACATGGGATGAAGGACTGGAGAGGGTGTGGCCTCCGCCAGGTGACTGGGGTTGGGGGCCTTGCACATGGATGGATGGATGGTGTCAGACCACCAACATGACCTGATGATTCTGTGTGTTTTGTGGGGTGGGCTGTAATCAGCTGGAAGTTTTTTTTTTTTAAGATTTTTTTTTTTCTAAAAGATTTATTTTTTTTATACAAGCACTGGGTACAGTCAGAAGCGTGGGAGGGTGAGAGAATCCACCAGAGCCAGAGTGGGGAACAGAACAGGCAGACTGATGAAATACACTGCGGAGGGGAGCAGCGGGCGCAGCAGGAGAGGTCTGTGTACCATGTGGGACCCTCACCAGCGGCCAGGGATCAAACTGGCGCTGCAGAGGCTGTGGGCAGCTTCGCAGCCCAGCGCTCAACCGCTGTGCCACTGGGGAGGCCCTCAGCTGGAAGTTTTGACCTGGCTGACTGGCGAGGGCAGGAAGGCAAGGCTAGCAGAGCTATGAGGGTGCCCAGCACCCAGTACCTACTTCCCTGCTTAAGGTGCATTCTACCCCAGCCCAGAGTGGTTAATGCAGTAGACATCACAGGGTGGGGTGGGTAGGGGGCAGAACAAGAAGTCCCAAGTCCTCATTCTAGTTCTGATCCCTAGAAATGAATGTGCTAGGTAAGGGGGAATGTATGTGACAGCTGTCTTTGGGATGGGAAGTGTCTGGGGTCCTTTGGGGCCATGCAGTCCCCGGGACCCTTAAAGGATGGGAGAGGCAGGAGAGTGTTTCAGAGCAACACAGTGCCAGGTGAGAGGGGTCACGAACCAGGGAATGGCAGCCTCCAGAAACGGAAAAGGCAAGGAACTTACTCTAGACCCTCCACAGAGGAACACAACCTACCGATACCTTTATTTTAGCCCCAGAAAACCCACCTGAGACCTATGTCCCCCAGAAGCACGAGGCGATATGTCTGTGTTTGAAATCACCCCATTCGTGGTGATGTTATGGTAGCAAGAGGAACCAAATACAGGGGAAAAGTGGTTGAGTTGGAGCAGCAAAAACATCCACAGGCTCTGAAATCAGGAGACGTAGGTTTAAGGCCAATGGCTCTGTGACTTTGGACAAGTCATGTCCTAACCGAGACTCAGTTTCCTCATCTGTAAAATGGGGATGTGAGTAACTCCCACCTCCCCGAGGATGAATGAGCTGACAGCCGACCCATGCCTGATATGCAATTGCCCCCCAAGGGCTGACGATTCTACTATTATTAGTCGGGGGTCGAGTCTGACATCTCCCCTCTACCCGCCCAGGGGGACTCCTTTCTTGCCCTGAGCCAGCAGAATTTGAACGCTGCATTGCCTGACCCCAGAGCCCAGGGATGGAGGGAGTGTGGTCAGGTCCAGCCTTCTGGGAAAGCCATCAGAGGTACTGAGGAAAAGGAAGGATGTTGGTGCCTACAACTAAGGGATTATTTGTGCTCAAATCCTTGACTCAGGATCTGCTTCTGGGGAGTCAGGCCTAAGAGAGGAACACAGTCCAAGATCATGCATCCCCTGCTGCTGGTAGTGCTGGAGGTGGCCAGGCCCGTCCCGGAGGAAGGGACAGTGGTGTAGACACAGATGGTGGGCTTCTGGAGACCAAACAGGAATGAGAAGCCAACGAACTAGATGTAGCTTTAGCACCATTTACATCTTCAAG